TGTGGCGAGCTGTTTGAAGTGCAGACAGGAGCTGGGCTGACCCAGCAGGTCTAAGCGATGGTACAGCAGCTTGGAGCTGGGAGCTGTGTTCAGGTTCTTCAGCTGCTTCACCGGGATTTCCGGCTGCACGTACACGATGCACAGGATGAACGACGTGTCCTGAACCTAGAACACAAAAGACAGGAGTGAAGGATTAAACCTCAAGAAGTTCAATATTTTAGTTAAATTGAATCAGATTTCATCACATACATTTCCTATAAGCGGCTGAAAAACACAATATTAACAGCATATATTTGACTGACATGTCGTGATTGCTTTAATGGAGTTACAAAGACTGGATAAAAGGTTCAGGAGCCACCGAGACAGACGGTAAAATGCATTGACCAGACGAGTACAAGAAGGTTGTCTGTGGACTAATTGGATAAAAGGTTAAGGGGAAATAAAGTGTGTGTGTGTGTGTGTGTGTGTGTGTGTGTGTGTGTGTGTGTGTGTGTGTGTGTGTGTGTGTGTGTGTGAGAGAGAGAGAGAGAGAGGAGTACTGAGGTGTGAAGGCCTTCCTGGTTAAACCTGTACCTTTTCTTTTAAAAGAGACATTTTCACTTTCAGTTAGAACATTACTCGCTGTCTTTCCTTGTTGTTCCTGCTTCTCTTGACTTTCTCTTAGTAGCTTAAAGCTGAGTGTCAGACACTTGCACTACACAATATTGTAAGTTGACATAAGTTATGTATTTCCCTGCACGCATAAAGCGAGACAGAGACTGCAGATTTACACCCCCTCTCCCTCCCTCTCTTTCTCTCTCTTAGTGTCTGGTTTCAGTCATAACAACCAGTGTTTCATGTGCTGCAGAAATCTTCCAGAAGAAATATCTAGTCTGGCTTAACAACTGTTTCCTTATCGATGATGCTACAAACACTGCAAAGGCCTTATCCTAAAAATCTGAAACGTTGTTATTGAACCATGGAGAAGTTGGACAAGACTCAGGAGACTTCCATCACTCAAGAGGAAATAGGAGAACATCCCCTCTACTCCCAGTTTTATGGACACATTTTTTACATGTATTGTGGTTACACAAGCACAATGATGACAGGCTAAACCGACTATTAACCCCCAAAAACACAAATGGCATTGGGAAAACAGACTCCCCCCTTGGGTTTTGCTCCCTGGCCATTTGAACCATTTTTCTGGCTCTGGAAAATTCATTTGAAAAACAGAGACGACTGCCAAACTCATGGCAAAAGGTGACGTGATTGAACTTGACCAGCTGTCAAATGTCAAAAGCTTTTTAAAAATATTCAAAGTGAAAAGCTTGAATTAAGTGTGATATGTCTAGTCCTGCCAAAACTCTGAATGTCACAGATCAAAAAAAGGCTCAATATGGGAGTGATGTTATTTGTTCTGTGGCCATTTATTCCTAAAACATGACACGTCAGGCTCTGAGAGGAAAAAGCAGATTTCAAAAGGACAGGCACTTCCTGGGTGTGGAAGCTCTTGGTTTTTTATTACACCTCGCACAATACCACAGCTAATTAAAAGTGATGGAGGTTTGGTGACATCATGCCTGGAGACATCAATCTCTTAACAGCTTAAAAACAGTGATTCAAATAATGATAACGAGCTGTGAAATGGAAGAGCGATGCACAGAGACGGTACATGAGTCACTCTTTTTCCAACCACAACATTGGAATAATTGCACCCGAAGCCAAAGACCGTAACTCATCTCTGCTATGATGACTATACAACTCATCAATCCTTCCTCTTACTATTAATCGACACATCTCACACTGATTACAGATCTACCTCCTAGTCCCGGTTTCTCTCTGTGGGAGACTTTTTAAGACTAAGTTAGAAAAGGATGATGTTAGGTGTACTATAAACACACTTTTACCATGTTTTTTTTTTAACCCAAACACAAATCAAATTTTTGCTTTGTTGTTTACATGCAAGCATGGTCACTAAAGTGTTTTTTTTCTTTTCAGCGTTTTGCATCTTAGGAAAATTCAGCCAACAGAATGATTCCTTGACATAAAAACATCCTCTGTTTCTAAATCAAATCAAACCAACCCCAAAACCCCGGCTGCAGTCAACTACCGCTAAAACATAATCATGACACAAACTGTCACCTCTCACACCACAACATTGTTCAACAGCAACATATTCAACACATACCACTGCTCAACTCCTCAACTCTCTTCTACCTCTCAAGTCCTTCTTACAAAGCAACTTGTCTCCCTCCCCTTCTCTCTTTCTCTCTATCGCTTCTTGTATCCTTTCTTAGGTACTTCGTATAGTTTTGTAATGTATTTGCTGGTTGTAGTCTGATGTGTGTCTATTGATGTCTTAGTATTTTGCTGTCTTTATTTATTTAAATTTTTTTTTACTGTGTTTTGGAGTTGTTGTCCTGACCTTGTCTGTTTGTTTTTTTGTGCCTCATTTGTTATGTATATGTCACCAGTTTGTCACTCTATTGCATCTAATAAAATAAAAAATAAATAAACCTGCCTCTATTTCTGATTCTCAATTTAAGGAGAATCTAAAAAAATCACAGGCTTTCATATCAAGTGTCCACAAGTTTCACTCAAACATTCAAACAGGCCTATTTGAGTCCCTGCATTCGTCTTGTATGTCCTAACAGCTTGCATTACATTAGCCTGGTGTTTGTTTTAGTATAATTGCAGTTCCGTCTTAATCCGTTTTTCACTTCTTGTTTGACTTAGGCCTGGGCGATATGGACCAAAACTCATCTTGATATTGATTATCTGAATGGTGATACTCGATATATTTCGATACGTATTTTATTAACAGTGAAAACACGTGGAAAAATAAACTACCTGTTTGTGAATTTAAAAAGTAATATTATAAAATAAAAATGTTCCTTAAATACAATAAGAGAGAGAGAGAGGAGGAGCAGGGTGAAGAGGGACAGACAGTCAGTCATCATCAGTGAGATGAGAAAAAGGTGACCTGGTACCTCTGTAATGTTTTTTTAATGAAACATAAACTATATCGATATTAAGGATGTTGTCTTACCCTAGATCTTGTTTGAAAATATATCGATATATCTTAAAAACTCGATATATTTCCCAGCCCTAGTTTGACTCAGTTTTTAATTAAAGTTTGCTTATTTGTCTGAGTTTAGAAGTATCACACATTAAGAGGAAAGTCCGTTACTCAGTCTAGATTGAGGGCAAAGTTAAGGGTTAAATGTGATCGCATGTCAGACTGTGACGTACCAGTTTCCAGGCGTAGCTGACGTTGTACGTGTCTTTGGTGTTGTCCCGGAGTCGGTTGGTGTGCCAGGACAGAGAGGAGTTGACGGGCACAGCGATGACCTGACTGCCCAGAGGGAGTCTGCACCAAACACACAACAACATGAAGAACAACTCAACATGCACAGAAATGAAATCATTCTTGTTTTAAATGATGAGCGACAAAGATTTTTTTTGAATTCATACAGGTGTACTCGTCTTTTCTTACCCGAGGATGTTGTGTCGGACAGCAGGGAATCCTGGGATATTCTCGTAGTGGATGATGTCAGTGTGCAGCGGGGGCTCGGTCATCAGGTAGGGTCGTGTCAGAGATGGATGCATCAGCGTGTAACCTAAAGAGTCCAACACCAACATCATTAATTACTCAAAAAACAACACTTAATAATAAGTATTAAGTAATAATCACTATTTGAACATTATTCCATCCACTCTGCAAGTTAACATTTAAACCAGTCTTTGAAATCAACATATCATACAGCACAGCACACAGCTCTGTTCAGTTTGTCAACTCCTTTTGAAGAAGACTGAAAAAAACTGTTGATTCAAAGAGACACAATGAGTTAGCATCGCCCATAGTAGCTACAGTTTGATACATACAACCGATGACACGAGGATTTACTGCCACAAGAGGATACATTACTAAATTCACTTTTGCAAATTTGCAAAGACTCTTCTCAAGTTAAAGTCAGGAAATTTTACCACCACCTTCTTTAATTGAGCGCTATGAACAAACTCCAATGCATGAAGGAAAGATATTACATTTTTAAAGTCAAAGAAATGCAAATATTTTCCCTGCCTGATATTTAGCAAAGTGAAATCAAATATTTTTGATCCAGAAAGTATCGCTTTTTGACAGTCCCATTAAGAAAGAGGGTGACAATTTCTGGAAAAAAATATTAAGGAAGGAATTTGGTCTTCTTTTCTTTAAAAAATTAAACGGGAATCCAAAAGAATATCTATATTTTTGTAATGCTGCGCTGTAATTGCATTAAACATTTTGCACACACTGTGTCGCTCTGGATCCAAAAGCATGTCATCAACAAAAGCAGCTGAGAAAACTTCTTACAAACGCGTGTATTCATAAAGTCACAGGATCAATGTGTAGAAAATCATTCCAATACTCTGAGGTGTTATTTGAAATTCCAGGCCTCTTGTCAGTGCTGTATTTAACTAATTATATTTACCCAGACTGTAATTGGCAGCAGACTATTTGTATGGCGGCTAATAACTTTAATGAGAGTCATTTGTCAGTGTTTACAGAGTTGCTGCACTAATAACCGTGGAACGGTAATAAGCTCTAATTTGATTCCATATTTATTACAATAACAAACATTTAGGGGGTTTAAAAAGGAAACTTGTTCAATGGCACCGCGGTGGAGCAAAGAAAAAAATCACACAGCTGCAAAACAAATCACAAGGAATAATTAGGTTTAATGTGAAAAATTCAGCTGTTAAACACTTCAGGTGAGTAAACATGAGAAAGTCTCCTCTTGTCTTCTTCTCTTCACACAACCTTCTACATCAACAGCTCAGCTCACCTCACTTGATAAATATAAAATTCTAAGCTTTGACAATTTATTTTTTTATACCGATGTCCGCTTAGTGTATAAGATAATCCATGATGCTGCTCCCCCACCATTGAAAAGCTTTGTGAAACTTCGCTCTGAGCTGATAAGCAGATCGTCAAGGTCTGCCTCTAACGGAGATTACAGTATTCCTAAACGTGGCTCCGCTTCTTTTAAAGCCATTAAAGAACGGAATAGTCTTCCAGCTAGTCTTAAACTTTGCACAAACTTCTACACTTTCACCTGGGAAGTCAAAAAATGGATTTTAAGGAACCAGTCTTGTCAGCAATAATGTGTCATCTTGACAACCTTTTAGATCTCTCAGGGAAACTTGTACATAATGTTTTAATATCTGTAAATTGTCTTTCTTGTCTCGTATGAAATCGAGAGCTTTCTTTCAAATATAAAAAAATGAATGCGTTGAAATGTAGTGCTGTCGTACTGCAGAGACGCCTTGGACTACAATTCTTGATTTTCAAATATAGGAGATATATTTGTTTGGTGAAAACCCCGGCAAAAAACGATTTGCAAAATAATCGACATTTACCAGGACTCACTTTGCAATCTGACAGCTCCTGTGAGGAGATCTGATCTGGTTATGAAACATACTAACATTTATAATTCAATTAATTATGTATAGGTTAAGCAAAAAAGATCATCAGTAACAACATTGATTATTTCTATGACTATCTTATTAAAGCCTGAAACAGCTGCTGGTAAGGTGTCAGACTAGGTGATCAATTGCACGCGGCAAAAAAAACCATCCTGTTTCTACATTTCCCCAGCAAAGATTCTCAATGAGTTATACTTTTTCTTCAGTTTTTTTCGAAGCAATCATGTCAGCTTGGCAGGAGGAAAAAAAAGAAAAAAGCTGCAATGTTCTTGCAAGCCAATATTACCTAATATGAGTAATCAGTAGCTATACTGTCATCCAGAGTCTCTGTCCAAAAGTGCCAATGCTCTCCAGACCTACTACGAGCACAACTCACCTGCTGTACAGTACCAGCGGTTTAGTCAAAACCCCCCTCAGCTGAGGCCAAAACAAACCAAGAGCGGACATGAGCGCTACCCGCCCTGCAATGTGGCAGCGCGCTGAGCCGAGGCTGAACTGACACTGTAATGCCAAAGAAGTGCCAGAGCTACAGAGAAGATGCCAATTAAGTCTAATAAGGCGTAATGCCTGTGGAGGAAGTTGAGAAAGACAAAATAAAGTGTAATTGTGCTTGTATGAGAAACAAAAACATGGAAATAAACTCCACTTAGCATTTGGAGTGTTTTCTCTGTAGGCCTGTGACTTATAAAGATTGATACCTCTGGAGTTTGTTGAAGTCATAGAGTCAGGGATGGGCAACTTTGGTCACAGCAAGGGCCACATTCATTTAATTCTCACCACCCGAGGGCCAAATTGTAGTACACAAAAATGATTACAGTCGATTATGTCTCAAATTTAAAGTCTTTCTATGTGATTATTCACACTTAAATATAATATAAATCAAGTATATCCTCTGAAAATAACTCTGTGAGTCATGACTGTCTACAATGGGTGTAACACCCGAGTCCCACTGTCTGTGATGTTTTCAGAGTTTTCAGAGTCCTATCTTCACTTTGTTTACATCGCCAGGATGGCCGGCTGACTCCTCCCCTCGTGTATAAAAGTTGTTTAATTGAGGGACTAGAGAAAAGAAGAATAACATACTGTACTCACTGCTTAACTGTGTTTCTAGATCACGCTCATTTCAGGTAAATTTACATGCAGTGTGAAGATACCAGCATAATGAAGATCGCTAGCATTAGCATGCTAACACAACAATGCACCGCTAGTTGTTTTGGTTTCATGCTGGTGCTCAAGGGCGACATCTGCTGGATCAAAAAATCACATATAAAGCCTTTAACTCAACATATACCAGTGATCAAATATTGTTATGGACATATTTCTGTTTTTTATGATTTCATAGCAGATTTTTGTCATATTTTCTTCATGTTTCCAATTAATTGACCCGAGGGCCACGTTGGATGTTGATGGGGGCCGCCAGTGGCACACGCATGTCATAGGTTGAATCATAACGTTCCCTGATTGTTGCTTGTTTTGTTACTGGCCCAGTAAGAGGCAGTACGACTGATTGGTTAAGCTGTGTTTGTTGTATTACCCAGCAGACCTGTTATTAGTGCACATGGAGAACACTGTATTTAGAGAACAGGCAGTCAAGACCACAGGAGGGAAAAGACACTATTTCCTGCCTGCTGATTCCTTCAGTGATCAACATGAGAGAGTGCATGTGTTCAAGAGATCTCTGCCATCTCTCCTGTCTCTGTGTGGACTGACCTTTGTTGTCAATGAGGAAGGTGTAGGAAGCCAGCGAGTCTTGGTAGTAGGTGACATCCTCCAAAATGTAGGCCAGGTTCACATCCACCCCAACCACGCCCAGGAGCAGGTTACCAAAATAACAAGGCCGGCTCACAGTCATAATAAACCCTGGAGAAAGAAAGAACAAAGAATCTAACTCATGCAACACCTGGGGTTTGTTTGATACACTTTTCGCTTTGATACGCTTTTCTGTTTTGATCTTTTTTAGCACATACAGATTTGCTGAGCTCATTCCATTGTTATCTGTGTGCAGAGTATAAAACTGTTCAATCAAATAAAGGGAAGATCAATACTTCTCTCATGTTGGTACAATATATATCAACCTAGAGCCAACATGGCAATTAGCTTAGCCTAATGTAGAACTAACAGCATCCAAAGATCATGAATATCAAGTTATGTTTCAATTAATTTGTCTCCTTTGGCAAAAGTTCCAGCATGTTAAAGAACAGCTTTAATGTTTTGACATTTGTGTTTCCAGAGCTTCTAAATAGTCAACTTTAGAAGTGCTGGAAGGCTGATTCTTACTTTCATACAGAGCTGTGTTAGCTGCTCCTTGTTTCCAGTCTTTAAGCTAAGCTAATTGTTGCATACCTCTCGCTTTGTGTGAAGCCTAAAATTTGAGACTTGTGTCAGATTTCTCTTCTTACTCATGGTTAAGATGAGTTAGTTATGGAATAAGGGGGGTGGGAAAACCATTCCTTCTAGTTTTTTTTGTGATTGCAATTGCTGATAATTGATGATCTCTAAACATTGCAGGAGATTTCACTTTGGACTGGAGACTTTTGGAGGTACTCAGAGCCAGTCGATATCAGAAACCCAGATCCAAATGAAGTCAGAGAGATTTCACCCCGCTTATGGTCCCTGTTAGAGCAGTGTTACTTAATGAATATTTCTGATTAATCTAGTGATTGCAGCTTTCAGAAGACTATTTCACATGCCAGCAGACTGTTTTGCATCATCTTTAAGGGTCTTTAGATCTTCATGGAAATGTCGAGAAAAACATGCTGGAGGAACCGTTCTATCCCTTTCGAAATAACTAGCTTAAAAATGTTGGTGAATGTGAAGCTTTTCAGTGTAATTATATTCATTTATCTCATTTTAGTAGGGACCAGAACATTTTTCTAATTGCCCAGTATTCAGTTGTGGTTCAATGTGATGACTTCCTGTCCACTTTGGTCCACACTCACCGTCTCCCATGGGGTCAGAGTAAGGCAGGCTGAAGCGAGCCAGGTCGATCATGCGGTTGGGCAGGTTGATGTAGAATCGGCCCACTGTCGTCTCCAAGTTGCTCAGCTGGTTCAGCACCATCATGCTTCCCTTCACCACCGGCATCGTAGAAGCAGCTCCCGCCGATCCGGACGAGGACGCCGCCAGGGAACGGTCGCGGTCGCGGTCGAACATTCGATCGACGCCGTATTTCACCGAATTCTGCTCCGCGAGATCTCTCAGGAAGGCCAGCTCCTTCAGGCCGGTGACTCCCTCTGAAGGAGGAGAACATGGGATGAAGAAAGAATGAAGGGTTAGATCGGGAATGCCGATGTCAGATTTGTTTGATTCAAATCAAGCTGGTACAGCAAGTAACTGCTCACATGGCTACAGGCGTCATCAGACGAGTAACATGACTTGAACAGGTTGGTTGAAAAAAAAGAAACCTACGAGTAAATGTTTGAGTTGCATACAAATTTGCATATGTATAATTTCTTATTAAAGGGAATACAAGTCAATATTAATATAAATGTGTAATTATATGCAGGTTTGAAAATGAAATGTATGTGCATATTTGTGTGACAATACCCATGAAATATTTAAATTAATCCAGTGTAGAAATGTGGAAACCTCAATTTGCATTGAACATGGGGGCTATATCCCCTTATCTCTTTTTCTTTTTTGTCTGTTTGTTTTCTATTTTATTTTTCTATTATAGTTATTTATATTTATTTTATTTTTCTATTTTATTTTTATTTATTTTTATTTATTTTATTTTTATTTATTTATTTATTTTATATTATATTTATTTTATTTTTTCTCTCTCTTATTTCATTGTTTTGATGTGTATGTATGTCTGTGTATTCATTTCTAAAGATTTTGCTGCTTCTTTTCTTGGGGGTAGTTTATTTTTTCTTTGACTCATTCAACATCTTATGTTGAAAACATGTTTGTTGAAATGAAATGACCATATGAATGAAGCAACTCTTGGAAAAAAAGAAAAATAAAGTATAAGAAAAAAAGAAAAGGTTGGTTGAAAGGAAAGCTACAACGAGTTAAATGCTTGTCACTAAAGGGCTAATTACTCATGACAGAATAAAGAAAAACTGTTCCATTCTGCCTCTAGCTGTACTAAAATTCATTTTTCAAGGAGATTCTTCCACCAAACAGAGGCCAGATTCAACAAGAATCTGTCCTCATGCAGTTCACATGGTTTAATTCACCACGGTCATAAATCAGTTGACAATGTCACAAGGATTTCCTTAACTCATTTGCCATCAGCAGCAGAGATTATCCGTTCACTCATGCAGGCCCCGACTTGTGATCCTGCGTCATGATCTCGACACGCTTTTTATTCCTAAAATCCCAGGCGTCTGCCGAACGCGACTGTCATCTGTGAAGCTCAGAGATGACAAACACAGATAAATCCCTCTTCTTTAGAGAGAAAGTATGCAGCTGAGAAGTTAACGCAGAGCTCAGGCTCTATGTTTCCATGCCTCATAAGGTCATGTAGAGGAGGATGGAGAACTGCGGCTTGGACTCTACAGCTGTCACCTGGAGCAATTGGCATCCCGCGATCCATTGGGAAGGACAGCGCACACAATGTCTGCTAGTATCCAATCACTGACTGGATTAGAGCAGAATTCCTTTTTAATGCCAAGGCTCATCACGCTGGGCAACTGGGGGAGGGGGGCGCGACGTCATGGGTGGCAATGTCAAACCAGTAAAGAAGAAAATGCTGATTGCACAGATTTCCACCTGTTTTTATCAAGGAGGTAGTGTCAATTCCTGCTCATATTTCCAGGGATAATCCAATGATCACTCAAACCAACTCATTACAATGTCTTAATAAAATAAAAAAACACTACATTTTATAAGATGCCTTTTTAAAAAAAACAGAAATCAAGAACCGTTCAGCCAAAGTTCAATATTCTGTTTTAGTCATTTAGCTTCCAACGTTAACAAAAGGAGTATTCGCTCATCTGATTGAGGATCTGATATCTTTGGGGCCAAGGGGGTGTCATATGAAACATTTTGAAAACATTATTTTGTGCTTTAGAAGATTGTTGATGGAACTTTTTCAGTGTTTAGTGACCTTTTATTTATTTATTTATTTATTTAACCTTCGTTTCTCCAGGTTAGTCCCACTGAGATCAGAGATCTCTTTTTCAAGGGGGAACTGGCGAGAACAAAAACACTAAAAAAACATACAGCACACATTTCATAAAAAGCTGAAAGAGTTGCATAAGGAAAGTCTGGATTTGTGCCTCTTCTCTAAGGATTTGAAAATTCAGGGTAACTAAGGTTTGAAGTTTAAAAACGGAGTTCAGGTTGTTCCAAGCAGAAGGTGCAGACAATCTAAAAGCTTTCTTCCCCGACTCCGTTCTAACTTTGGGAGCAACAAATTGCACAAAGTCCAACGAACAAAGGTTGTGTGTTCCATCTTTCAGAATGAAAAGAGAGGAAAGGTAGTCCAGAATCAGTCCTAGAATAGCTTTGTGAATTAAGATACACCAATGTCCGTGTTGGCCTGTTCCTAAAGCGGTCCTATTGAGTTCAGAATATGACGTAATGATGAGTAAGAAGAATTAAAAAAAGTGATCAATTTAAGTAAAATCAGCTATTTGCAAAAGACGTGCAATTTGGGGTTAAAACATTCTCTAACGGACAGGAGAGCAGCTTATTCAGGTAATAACAAAGTTATTCACAGTAGGCCGGCACGCACACACGCATACACACACACACACACACACACACACACACACGCAGGCATACACAAACAAACAACTGTGTATTATACTGCCAAGGGACTGCTGATCTCCTTGAACAATCAGCACTTCAGCTTTGGCAAGAGATGCAGGAAAAAAGACACACACACACACACACACAGAGTGCCGTTCAGCTGTGTGCAACAGCCTCAGCAACAAAACAAATATTTTTTTGTGGGATATGCAATGCTAATAAACTCAGAGGACGATAGATTTCCGCATCCTTTTCATCATGGAGCTCTTTAAACAGCCAAGGTCCTCCGTCACACACACACACACACACACACACACACACACACACACACACACACACACACACACACACACACACACACACACACACACACACACACACACACACACACACACACACACACACACACACACACACACACACACACACACACACACACACACACACACACACACACACACACACACACACACACACACACACACACACACACACACACACACACAGAGCAGCACGCCCTTTGAAGTCTCACTCTCCTCACTTAGATCTACCTCATTTCCATTCTTAGATGCAAAAGCAATCTGTATTGATAGGTGGACTAATGCATGTACAGCAGTGGTGTGTGTGTGTGTGTGTGTGTGTGTGTGTGTGTGTGTGTTGCAGGTTTTAAAGGAGGCAGATGGATGGACAAGGACAATAAGAAAGGGAACAAAAAACATACACACCACACCAACAAACAGAAAAAAAGCCTTTGAGGTTTCTGAGCACCTCTCTAACCTTCAGTCTTCACTTAAAACGTATCGAGCCAAAAAACAGATATATCTGCTGCAAAGAAACCCGTCCAAACAGAAGAAGACTGTTGATCAAAATTTAGCAAGTACAATCCTATGCAAATGTTGAACGGGCAAATATCATGATGTAATAGAAAGTGAGAGTACTAGCAAACTGTCACTACAATTACTGCAGCAAAGCTAATGAGCAGCGATGACGAGGCGTCTTCCCAGAGCTAGCATACCGCATTTCAGACAGCATTTCTTACAACTCTCCTGGCAGGGGTGGAGCAGCGATTTTAAAAGTGCGGGTGTTCTGACGCTAGTATATTAGCATCCTCTAGCAAATCAACACATTCTGTTTCCTATTAAAGGCTTTATATGTGATTTTTTGATCCAGCAGATGTCGCCCTTGAGCACCAGCATGAAACCAAAACAACTCGCGCTGCATTGTTGTGTTAGCATGCTAATGCTAGCGATCTTTATTATGCTGGTATCTTCACACTGCATGTAAATTTACCTGAAATGAGCGTGATCTAGAAACACAGTTAAGCAGTGAGTACAGTATGTTATTCTTCTTTTCTCTAGTCCCTCAATTAAACAACTTTTATACACGAGGGGAGGAGTCAGCCGGCCGTCCGGGCGATGTAAACAAAGTGAAGATAGGACTCTGAAAACTCTGAAAACATCACAGACAGTGGGACTCGGGTGTTACACCCATTGTAGACAGTCATGACTCACAGAGTTATTTTCAGAGGATATTCTTGATTTATATTATATTTAAGTGAGAAAAATCACATATAAAGACTTTAAAACATAGTTTCAATAGAGAAGGATAAAATAAAACAAAGAAGAGAAACATATTGTGGTGATTCTCTAACAAATTTTCTTTCTTCAAAAAAACATCTTGGGGTAGTCAAAAAACTTTAACGTCCAATAACTAATGTTAGCTGACACATCATACAACAAGAGAAAGTTACAAAAGATAATTATACACTGACTTTATGAACATCCATTGTGAGTAACACAGTTAGCTCTAAAAAACGAGATTCAAAACTGCTCTATGTGATGCTTCTATTTATTTTTTCTTATTGCCTTATGCCTCAGTCTCTTTACTTCCGGTCTTCAAATATAATGCGCTTTTATTTTGAAAAACTGCGAAGGGGACTTCCGTTACATCGTAAAGTTACGGGAGTAAATAAATACAGCTAAAAGAAAAGAGAGGAGATTTGCGTTATTTTGTGAGGTGGATTTATCCTAAAAACATGTTTGGGTGACTAACTCTCTTTCAGAAGGATGCTACATGTAGCATGTATCCATTTGTTAGCTCTGAGCTCTGACTCAGCCAGTTATGAGTGACAGGAGGATTAAATGCACGTAACTTTAGCGCGCTTCAACTGTAACCAAACAGCTATGATTGGCTTAATTGTCACTTAATAAATCTTACTTGACCAGTAAGTTTTCATCAATGACTCCACTGGTAAAAAGTGTGGGGGATGAAATTACGTTTCAGTGAAACACCCACGGGTGAGACGCGCCTGTCTCCTGGTACTTTCACTAACATTACAAAACAGTATTAATAAGCAAACATGAGCTGAATGTCTGTGGGCAAATACAGTTAGCTTGTTGAGCTTGTTTACACAGCAAAGACAGCTGAGCATGACAAGCAGATGATAATTCATTTAAACCCACTGTATTTCTAAAAGAGTAAGGGTGGCGTACCATTCATGAGGGCGTAGGTGAGGATCATGACGGAGTTGTTGAGGTGTCGGTTCTCCTCTCTGACCACACTGAGCGTCGCCCTCTTCTCCTGCTCCGACGACTCTCGGGACGTGATCCCAGATGACAGGTAGATGATCACCATGTCTGTGGCTGAGAAGAACACAGAAAACAAAATCACCACACTCATTCTGATCGATCAATGCAATAAGAAGGTGACTAAGGCGGCACACAGATAGACGCCTGTGCACAGCGCAACAAAAACTGTTTTCTTACTGGCGCTCTGTTTCCAGAGACTGCTGGTGTTTCGGAGCAGCTGGAAGGCCTTCTGGAAGCCGACCGCGTGTTGTGTGGCTCCATCAGAGGCCTTGATGTTGGAGATGAAGGTGCTCATCTTCCTCTTGGTCTCACTGGTGGCCGGAGAGAGCAGGCTTTTATAGCACTGGTCCAGGAAACAGGAGCGGACCGTCTCCGCTACTGACAGGATGGAGATCTGGAGAGGAACGATAATGGTACATTGAATGCTCTGTACACTTGTAAATATGAGCTCTAAACATACAATCTTCTAAATAAAGTAAGACTAGATTGGTATGCTCTGACCTTGTCGTGCTCGTCGATGGCGTTGAGGATGACCAGTGCAGAGTCCCTGGCGATCTGAAGCTGGGTGTCAGTCACAGACGCCCCGTGGTCCACAATCACCACGATGTGTTTAGACTGGGGACGTACTGCGGACACATACACGGGCCTGCAGGGGTAGAAATACACACAAACATGCATGTTCAGATCAGACACTTTACCTTACAGGGATATAAATACAAGACAACATAAACACATACTATAAAAGGCTTACATGCTTACAGACTACAACCCAACCCGGACCCTCAGGTCATCAGGTGAAGGTCTTTTAACCGTACCCAGAATCAGATCAAAGTCTGGAGAGGGGGCCTTTAGTTACTGTGGTCCTTTTCCTGCTGACCTGAGATCCATTACTACACTTTCTACTTTTAAAACAAAACTCAAAACCTCTGTTCTCGAAAGCATATGAATAGTTTTTCTTTTTTTTTGTATGTGTGTGTGTGTGTATATGTATGATCACTTTTGTGGTAACTGATGTTTCCTTTGTCGTGTGTATAAATTATTAATGACTGTGGAAACACTTTTCTTTCTTTTGTATGCTGTGTTTTTGATTTTGTTTTTAACCTCGATGTAAAGCACATTGAGCTTATCTGTAATGAAATGTGCTATAGAAATAAAAATTGCTATTACATGAACAGGGGGACTTCAGATTGAAATGCATTAAGTACGGAAGGACATGATCGAGGTTTTTGGATTTATACTTGAACCAGAGCAGCAATGTGAGTCCACAACAACCTCCATATCATCTAACTAAACATAACCTTGTCTTCTACTCAAACCCTTTACTTTCTCCACTTTAAAGTTTCCTTCACTAATCCAGTCTGCACTTAGCTGTAGTGTCTAGTTCCACATCTCCTTTCCTGTTATTTTTGGAGGATGCTGAACACCTCTCATGCATTTCACACCATCATTGCAGAGTTATTTACCAAGAAACCATATGTGCAAACTCCCACAAGCTGCAAATGTTATGAAAGATTTTTGTTTTACTTTTCAGTTGATGCGTATGAATTAATTAAGTATAAAATATGATTTCAACAGCTTTCAGACCTTATGTAGTCATGGTAACGTATAAAGACTCACACAGCAACATGATTTACGTACATAATAAAGTAACTACATTTTAAAGTTCTCTCACAAATGAGGAAAAAGAAACATCATATTGAGCATCAGTGTTGCAACATGCATTCATGTGGATCATAATATTTTATTTTCAGGTATATATTTAACGCCTGGTGTGTGTGTTAATGTTAGTAGATTATTAGCTCGGTGGGGGTATAAAGGGATGTAGGAGGGGGGATCAGTGTCTGCGTGTGTGGTCTGCTGGACAACACAGGGCGGGGAAGGGGAACGATGTACTCACAAAGCCTTATTCACACTCCAAGCAGGCCAAGAAATGTCATTTATGTCATGGCTGTATGCCAGCTCACTGACTCGAACAGCAAGGACAGAAAAATCCACGAGACATGATTTAAAAAAAAAGAAAAATCTCAAAATGTACTAGAGAAGCAAGAGAGAGACAAAAGAATAAGAGAAAAGAGGACGAAACATCTTTCAGCCACAGCCAATAAAAAAAAAAAAAAAAAGCCCACAACAATGGAGGTGTGAAATTCCAACAGGCTTTAGTGGTACAGAGCCACATTCCTGCCAAGGGCATGTGTGGTCAGGGTGTGTGTGTGAGGGCTACATGCCAGCTACGTGCCCTCTGGGCCACCCCACAGCCACTGACAGAGGAGGAGGGGGGAGCAGGAGAGGGCTTTTAACTTCAGCCAGCCTGTTCTGACACCGTATACAGTATGAGTAATATGTTTAAAAAATTGGGTGTTCTGCAGAATTTTTGGATGGACAATAAGAGAAAAACAAATGTAAAAAAAAAAAAAAAAAGGTTGTTTCTTTACCTGCTGCGGTGCTCGTAGCTTCCTTTGCATTGGAACTTGTGGGCGGGGAAGACTGTGAAGATGCCCTCCTCGGAGCTGAAGTACTGCCACTTTATCCCCGGGTTGGACTTCAGGTTGTCTGCCAGCACTGCGGACAGAGGAGACAGACATTTAAATGTAATGACATTTTTTAAAACAGGGAGGGACCTAGGGTAAAGAGAGAGAAATGGTAGAGAGAAGGTAAAACAAAGTGAGGAGGGGGAAAATTGGAAAGGCTGGAAGGAAGAAATAATAATGACACATCGGATTATAGAAGGATTGAGAGTTCCTTTTTGTTTACATTCAACTTTGAAAAGGCAGAATGAGTCAGATGTTCCTCTAAAGCGATGTATAGACGAGAAAAACCTGTTTTCAATCCTCCTTATTACCTCCCCAAATAAAGTTTAAGTGCCTGCAGAAACCTCGCCTTGACGTCTTACAATCTGGCTGTTCAGGACATTTCTAGACCAATGTTATTGGTGATGATGAGCAACAAACAAACTCTGAAAGCTGTGTTCACAAACTATAAAAGATACACCCTTCTCATTCGGCTGATATCAGGGGAGAGGCATGGAAAGTTCAGGGGTTGACTATGATACCTGTGTGAATCAGAGCTGTTGAGAGAAACGACTGTCATAGAATGATCGAAAGGCGTTTAATGGGGCGTTAGATTGCCCCAAGATAGATCGTTATGTCGCATTCAGTCAGCATGCAGTCCTTCGACTTCAACCTTGGCTGCACCCTGCTCTCTCCTCCCAACATCTCCTCTCACTTCAGCTGTCGAATCAAATGAAGGCAAAAATGGCCCAAAAGTATCTTTAAACAAAAAAAAAAAAAAGAATTGATGGTGTTATGATTTCTCTTTAAGTTCTCAAGTTGGGTTGGGAACTTGTGGGTTTTTTGGGGGAATTTGAATTTGAGAATTTCTACAATATTTGAAAATTAAACTTGTCTTCACTTCACTTGCTTATTTAAAGAACCCCATAATAAACATTGTGATACAACAGAAAGGCCTTAGAAACCTTGTTATCTATCAATACCTAGATATCATTCTGGACATATTTAGTTTAAAGGCGATTTTTTGATCCAGCAGATGTCGCCCTTGAGCACCAGCATGAAACCAAAACAACTCGTGCTGCATTGTTGTGTTAGCATGCTAATGCTAGCGATCTTTATTATGCTGGTATCTTCACACTGCATGTAAATTTACCTGAAATGAGCGTGATCTAGAAACACAGTTAAGCAGTGAGTACAGTATGTTATTCTTCTTTTCTCTAGTCCCTCAATTAAACAACTTTTATACACGAGGGGAGGAGTCAGCCGGCCGTCCTGGCGATGTAAACAAAGTGAGATAGGACTGTGAAAACTCTGAAAACATCACAGACAGTGGGACTCGGGTGTTACACCCATTGTAGACAGTCATGACTCACAGAGTTATTTTCAGAGGATATACTTGATTTCTACATTTAAGTGTGAAAAATCACAAAGACTTTAACGCTAAGCATTTTGTTTCTTTTTTCTAAGATGTATTTTTTGCATTTCTGTGTCTTTATGGAGAGACAGGACTCTATTGTGGATAAAGATGAAAATCTGTTTTCATTAATTTGCTTTTCACACATATCAACCATATTCAAGCTTGAAGAGGAACTAATGCTTAACTTTTCCCTTTATATAAAAATAACTCCAAAATGTATTCCTATACTTTTGGCACTGCATTTCAATCCCTGTGTCATAACTGTGACAGCAGGACGAGCTGAAATAACAGTCTGAACTACAACCTCTGCAGACACACTGAGCCGGAGGATTTGCTCAACACAGACAGATTTTTTTTTTTTTTTTACTGGCTCGCTCACAGAGTCAACAGTATCTTCACAGAGATCCCATCACAAAGCAGCAACTTCCTTTCCTCAACTGCAACACAAAACAGCCTTTTGTAAAGAGATGGGAGAGGAGGGAGGAAAGAGAGAGAGTTAGAAAGACACAAATAGAACTTTTTGCGGTACGTGAGGGGGAAAACAGAGGGTAGACATGAAAGAAGACTTTATAAGATTAACATGAAACAATCATGCTGCTGTTTGACTCAATGTTTTACTTAGCTCTGAAAGCCAACCATGGCAAAAACCACTGACTACAAGCCTCAAACTGTATAACTAAAGGATCTATCGTTTGATTTAGACAATAATTGCAATGTTTAATTTCTTACTTATAGTATCACTGGGGTTTCTGCAGGTCACTATCAGAAGCATGCATTCAGCCACTTCTTTGGCTGATCATTTGTTATTCCCTGGTTGCAGGTTTCCTTAGATGGGGTAGGATTTTAAATAAATTGTTAACTAAGTTGATGGTCTTCGCTAGACATATTAACAGCTATTCCTGCATGTCACTGTCAGCTGGTGCTAAATATTTCCAGGATGAAATGGCATTGTTGAATCACCTGCCTATGAGAACCTGTGCATTGGCTAATCAAAACCCTGTGAAATGATCTAACTGCCAAACATTACAAACAACAGCAAACGGCACCTTTAGCAACATTCTTGGCAAAAAAAAAAAACAGCCGTTCTTGCACACCATCATTGCCCGTCATACATTATCCTAACCCAGTCACTACATTCATCTCTGAGGCTCATATAAACAGGAAACACTCAGTTGTGTTGACAGTGGAAGAGGGCTTTGTTAAACATCTGTCAGCCTACAGTGCTCCACTCTGCCAACTATGTTTAGATCGTCTCAGAAAGAGAGACAGGCAGGCAAAGCCAAGAAATGGGACCCAAATGACACCCATTTACTACAACAACCCTAACATAACTGACGTTTGTAAAGTTTGATATATTTATGTATCACTATGATATATTTTCTTTGATATGTCTGCATCAACAACACTTTAAAAACACCATGTGCAAAAATGGATGACAAACTCCAAAACTCTGTTTGATCTTTATAATCCCTTTACACCTTTAAGTAAAAGCTAAAGACCCATTCTTTCATGAATACCTATGCACTTAATGATATTGACGATGTTTCTGTTGGATAATGAAGATTTAAGGATGGTTTTGAAGCTGATTAGAGCTCTCAACAACAGCTGTCGATTGTGTGCTTTGCCTGTCAGCAATCAAACTTAAGGCTGTATGTTTGCAGGTTCTGACATTGTTTCCTCCTTTCTAGATCCTTGCTTGTGTTGTACTTACTCGCTGATGTATGTCGCTTTGGATGAATTGTACATTTTAGAACAAATTTCAGCTAAGATTAAACAAATAAAGTAAAGCTAAGTTAACTTTTTCAGCTAAAAAGGCATCAACCAAGTACTGGTCAATTCAGAAATGTTACCTAAGAAAGGCACTACATGGGGATTGAAGGGATCTACAGTCAATGTCAATGTGCAGATATTTCATAGAAACTTTGACCTGCTCGTGGCACCAAGTACATTGATTAATCAACTTGGAACTATCCATTTACATGTATACAAGGAACTAAACAAATCGACTTCAATTTGGTCAAATCCTCCTGGACCCACCCGTCCATTCCTCCAGTTGTTTAGACAATCATGATTGAGTTGGTGCTTGAATGCGCTACTCCAACCTCAAGTTCAAAGTGTTGGAAAAACGAGTATGTGCATGCATGGGAAGAACGCAGAGAATTATGAAAGAAATTTTACAAATAAGACATTTCATAACATCTGTAGGCTGAAGAAATGGAGGAAAATATCCACCTAAGTCACCTCTCATCTTCCAGATTTTTTAAAACTCTTAGTCGCTTGTTTCACTTCCTAAACCACTATCTCCTATCTCCTCTGCCTCTAACAAAAAGCAAAAATGGAAGATAAGAGGAGAGAGAGAAGATGGAAGTATACAATACAGTCTTGATATAATTACTCCATTTCAATCAGCTCTAACCCCTCCCTTCTTCCTCTTCATTCATCATTCTCTCCCTCTCAATTATCCCTCCCTCTCTCACCTGCTCCCTCCCTCCCTCCTCTCTGTAGCTGCTTGTTTAGACTGGGCTGAGACAAATGGGAGAGAATGAATACGCTGGGAACGTGGGGGTCAAGGAGGGCTGAGTGTGAGGGACGGGGAGAAGAGAGGAGAGTGGAGGTGGGGGAGGGGGGGGGGTAACTTGAACTCACCATGACTGGCTTGTTAGGAAAATAAAACCCAGCCAATGGTGATATGTTATGAATGGCAGTCATTATGAATGGTTTGTAGAAAAGAGGAGGCTGGGATGTGTGGAAAAAGCAGGAGGTGGTTAACAGCAATGGGATGGCAAAGAAGAACAAATGATGGTGGTTTCCTGTAAAATGGGATACTAGCGCTACATTATCCAAGTTGGAGAAGTTAAGGGGACAGTATGCTTAAAACGTAGTATTGTATTGGTGGCGGGGAAATTACTACAGAAAGTGGGTGTAATATTGAATTGAGCCATAGTTGGACATGTTTGTGTCACTTTTCCCAAAGTAATTCAGGCTTAATGCATTTTAATGTTGCTTGTACTAAAGTTCAAGTTCTGCAAACCAAATGTTAGCTTTGAGTATTGTTTTGGTAAAAAACAAGTCTGAATGATGGAAGTTGGGATGTAGTAACAATGATCAGCCATGGATTTAATTGTCTGACTTGATAACTATTATGAAGAGATATTTTGTGTATAACTGTTAACTGGACATCTTTAACTGCAAATTATGTCAAAATTAGTTTTTTGTTGTAAATAGTTTATCCATGGAGGCTTTGTGTGTGTTAAAAGTGGGTATAAAACCTGTGATGTCATCATAATGTAAAGGTAAAACTAGCTGCAGGGGGCAGCAACAGAGACTCATGTTTATAATAAGTGGTTCACATGCTCTGTAAGTAAGTCCAGATGATAGAAACTTTCTTGGTAAGTATTCTTACATACAAAGTCTGCAGAGAGAATTCAAACACTCAATAACAAATGTCAACTTCTGGGGGAAATGTACAATGTACTGTATGAATGGGGGGGGGGGGGGAGTAGCTCAGTCTGTATAGGTGCTTGGATTGGGAACCGGAAGGTCGCCTGTTCAGGCCCAAGAGAGTAAACCAGATCTGCCCTCAGGGATGATGAAAGTACAGCATATGGAAAAAAAATTAAAATTATGGATTGAAAATAGAGAGTTTAGAGGAAAACAGTGCATTTCATTAATCCACACAGTTCAGCTTGATATTTTTTCTGCTGAAGCAGGAGCAACACACCAAGCCATGGCAGAGGAACAGAAGGAGCAGCAGGGGAAAGTTGGACTTGGTTTTTAGTCAATTTGATCCATTTTTCTTTTTAATCAAAAACAGACCGACATATGTGGTACAGACTGATGTGGGTTTCATATTCTGCAATTCACTTATGTCATCTGGCCCCTCAATAAATGTATCTGCATGGACACCATCACACTGTATGCCATTGCTCCTTCTTTTTGAGAATGACGACGAGGCAACATATGTACTCTATAACTTGAAAATGGAATGTTTTTGTGAAAACTGATGCAATGAACACTTGAGGTAGAAGTGAGGACAGAAACAGATCAGACAAAGTCTTCACAATAAAGATGATAAAAAACATAAACCACCTGAATACAATTTCAGACTGAGTTCAAAGTCAAACAGAGTGCATTTGATCTCAGGCTATAAAAATATATTTCTCAAATCGAAGGGAGGGAGAGGCAGAGAAGAAACAGATAAAGAGAGGGAAGAAATTAAAAGAGAGAGAGAGAAACTCTCTTTCAACAGGCACAGCTAATTATTTATCTTAGATCATGTCCTCCGCTTTTAACATTTCAAAGATAAGAAGAACCGTACAACTTCTTAATTAAAAAATGGTTGCCATGGCAATAGCTTTTTAATTATTCAGCATTTGGTTGGCAATCCACAAAATGAATTCCAAAACTCAAATGGTTTTAAGCTTTGAGTTTTTCCCCATTTGTAACCGTTAAACCACTTCAATTCATTTAGTACCAAATCCTTATCCTTCCATCTTGTTTATGTGTGTGTGTGTGTGTGTGTGTGTGTGTGTGTGTTGTGTGTGTGTGTGTGTGTGTGTGTGTGACGTACCTGAGTTGAGGTCTCGTCCGGGGTTGAAAGCTCGGCTATTGACTGTTGGAGAGAGTCTGTCGCAGCAGATGGTCTTGGAGACGTTGGTATTGAAGTTTCCATCAAACCTAAAACGCACACAAACGGGCAACATTTGAGGAATTTATAAAGTGAATCCAGCTCGTTTGCTGGTGGAGCGGCTCCGACTTTTCTCTCAGCACAAACAGATTTATTGCTGCACAGCTTCATTTCCAATAGATGAAAAAAGCCCACAGGTTTGCCAATTCTTCTGGCTTTATAGTTATATTTAAGTCTCAACTAAAAAAAAAGCTTTTGGACCGGCAGATAAAAAAAAACACAAAGTGAAATCATTAAGTAAATCTAATTACACAAAACATCTGTTGAAACTAATAGATTCTGCTGGTTTCATTTAAGCCTAATTGTATTGTTGGCCATATCATCTGTTACCCAGACGTCAAATTAGAGAACAAGTAATGGCTTGTGAATCATAGTTTCCATGGAAAGCTGCTCAAACATCTGAATGCAGTTGTTCCAACATCATATTTCACAGAGCCCTGCCTAGCATCCATCCATCCATCCATCCGTCCATCCATCCACCAATCCACCCATCCACCCATCAATCCGTCCATCCACCCACCCATCCGTCAATCCATCCATCCACCCACCCATCTTCCATCCATCCACCCACCCATCCACCTATCCATCCATCCATCCACCCACCTATCCATCCATCCATCCACCCACTCGTCCATCCCTCCATCCATCCACCCATCCATCCAGCTTGGTCAGAGTTGCAGAAGGCTGAGCAAGTGACCTTCAGAAGTCACTCTTTCCTAGAGCTATTTTTGTGCCTTACATATGACAGACGAGGAGTAAAAAGGGCACAAATATCCCACTATAAACTGGCAATCTGTAAGCACCAATAGACAACCTCCGCTGTGTGCAACACGTGAAATGGACAGTACAGAAAATGTCTGGAAATGCGAGATGAGCGATGTTGCCTTCATCTTCTATCACAACAGACGCACATATAAAATTTAAAAAACACATACAAGTCATAATTTACAGCAACTAAACGTTTCTTAGTTGCACTGTAACGAGCCCTTTTGAGAAGCTCTGATGGAGTATGAAAATAGCAGTAGTCATTGTGCAGTGTTGTCCTTAAGCATACTCGAACCCTGATGTGTTTAAGAGGTGACAAAAAAAATCAGACACATGGAGCAACGAGCACGTCTTTAGCACGTGGCTTTGCCGCAAACATCTTCACGCATATTCTTTTCAGTTTTTTTGTTTCAGTGTTAACCAAGAGCACAAGCTGTTATATGATGGCTTACGCGGTTTCCAGAGTCGATATCTCTGCAGTTAGTAGCTGACAAAAAAAATGGCAGGTATGCAGAGGAGCAGCCTATTTCTGCACTGCACCAAGTCTGGCTGCTTTGATCCTTCTATCCTGCAAACTAGAACCCCCCCCTCTTCTTCTTTCTGGCTTGGCAACATACAGACACACATGTGCACACACACATACACAGATGCTACACACTGTTTGGCTCCCTCTGCTTTGCGGACCTGGCACCGGCACCGGTTTGATTGACAGGTGCTGTGATGTGAAGGCTACGTTTGAACTTCACTCATTAGAGTCCCATAAGGCTGAAGTCATTACTATTCTGCCGCGGCCCGCTCTGCATAGAAGGGGTGGGCAGAAATGTGTGCCAGATAAAAAATACATTTGCAGCTGCTTTGAATTCAACATCAAAAAAACACACATGAGAATGAGGGAGAGAGCGATTCCATTCTGATCAGACATCTTAATGAGGGCAAAAAAAATTAAAAAATCATTTTTTGCTGAAAGGCTGGACTCACCGGACTCGAGCAGGAACAGCCACATAGGCTTAAGATGAATCACTAAATATGAAAAATAATAGTGCAAATCCAAACTCGCTCTTACAATGTGAATGCTCAACGCTTTAAATAATTCCTCCTCTGAATATGCATATAAATAATGTATTGTAGGAATGCTGGCTTGATTACCATTCCTCCCAAAAGGGTTCCTTCTGTATACGGGTAATTAGGAAAGATCCTGACGACAATTCAAGAGATACAAAACACTGATAATGGGCTTCTGTGTGTGTTCATCTGGGGAGAGACTCAAAGCACTATTTAGTTTTGGTACGACACATTTTGACTGAAACATGACATTCTCTTTGCTTTTAGCCCAGAATAAAGTACAACTATTTCAGAAAATAAATTAAATTAAATAAATTAGAAAATATGCATTAGCTCTGAAAAATCAAAGGCTGACATGAGAAGGAAATTAAAAAAAAATCGCCATCAGTAAAATGTCTTCAGGGGGGACACTGGACTTACTACAGAGTGAAACAGACAGAAGACTCTAAATGAGAATCTTCTGTGAAGCTGTATCCTGCTTCAGCAACCATGTAGGACCCAGGGAGTACGATCACCTTGAAGAGGCTCGTAAGTGTAATACCCTTTTGACAGTATTTGTGTACAGCAGGATACAAGCTAGTGTGTTAATGAGATGGGGAGAAAATATTTGAAACAACTTTGAGCTACTGTATTGAACTGATTTAGAACATACAGCTAGACAGTTTAGAGAATAAGGGATAATTAATTATTTATACCTGCCATCCATTATATCGGCCATGTGATTGGCAAAGTACAAAGAAGCATTTTATTTTTGTATTTAGATCACACTGTGAGGCAGAGAAGCATAGAGTTGATAGAGAGATTCAGGATGACATAAATAAACATGTAGACCCTCATACAGCTGTGTTGTCTGTTAGCTTACCCACTAGGCGAGGTAAGTGGAGTGGTGGTATCATGAAAGATAAGATTGAGCTACAGGGGGCCCCAGCTCAAAACGCTGACTACTGGATCACTCTGGTGTCAGCCGAAGGCCTCAAAGCTTCACATATGTACAATGAGTGTGACGTTAATAAATCTACTCTTAGGCATTATAGCACATCTCCTTATGTTGTGCTAAATTTTAAAGGCTGTGATGCCATGCGATAAAGAACGATACACTTAAGTGTCCTCATGGGGTAATATGTCCTGGACTCAAGTGTTGCACACATATGTGACATCAATAAACACAAACATGATAAACTAATAACGATCCACAACCTCAGACCTAAACAGGAGAATAGTTACTACTTGGTAAGATAAAAAAAGATTTGCAAAAAAAAAATGAAATGAAAGTGAATGGATTACACATTTGGTTGTTAGATCAGATTGTAAGTCAGATACAGTATGGTGTGCACAGATTGGAACAAGGCCATGTAGTGCAGATCTAAAGACCATCTCACCTCTTCACCTGTCCTTGAGTATCAGTGAAGACGGGGAGGAAGGAAACAGTGAAGACGGGGAGGAAGGAAACAGTAAAAGGCAAAGGGGAGGGTGAAGAGGATGGGAGTATATCAACAGAGGCTGGAAGGACAAAAAAGTAAAAGTAAAAACTAAGGAGTAGAACATTTTAGGGAGTCAACGGCGGACCGACATAGAAGAGAAAAAGGAGAGAGGAAGAAACTGACGTTCACAGAGGCCTGTTGGGAGTTTTCTGGAGGTTGACAAATATTAACAGCTGTTAAAGTCATTTAAACAAGCCTCCTCCTGATTCTTCTGAAATGTTAGCCATGTCCTTCCTTCTCTCTTTGGGGAAACAGAGGTATCATCATCGTGCTGAATGAGCAGCTTGACCTGAAGCTGTAACTCTGAGTCGCTCCTCACTGCTGCTCTGTATACTCTTGATGTGGACTGTAAATCTGCCCGCAGCTCAGATAGTGAGAATGCTTCTTCAGAAACAGGAGCTCTGTATTAGCAGCATGTGGTCTTTAATCTTTGCTTAATTATTACTGAAGGTATGTGACATGTGGAATATCATCACTCATATGATGTTACTGCATGTTGGATAGTTATCAAGAGGTCATTGAGGCAAACTGCAAAATTGCGCAGCTCGTTCTCGGCTCAGTAAGTCTCTATAACGTTTTACAACCTTAACATAACTAATCAGAAAAAAAAGATAGAAAACACACATTTATGTTATAAACAGCTAAGTTTGCAAGCTAGTATGTTCTCAATTTTTTTACACTGTCAGAAACTAGCAACTACTTACAGCCTTTCAGGTGTTGTGCCACCATGGTAGGCCAGTTTCAAATTGCATATTTGGCACACGGCCTTTGTCTTGTCTTCACTTAGCTTAAAGTGTTCCCAACAACTTCCCACACAGCTGAAGTCTTCGGCATTTTGTCTTCCCTTTATTAACGGGCAAAGTGAACTGAAGTGTGACGTTCACTGACCGCTGTGAGGAGAGGAATTTTAGTACCCCTAAAAAAAAAAACGAATATCCGGATCCCAAAATTAACAACAGATTGCGTACCTGACCAACAAATATCGGAATAGCTGAATATTCGGGTTCAGTCCTATTACTTTTCATCCCTCCAGTCTTCCCATTCCCAACCTTATACCTCTACTATTGGAAAGTCAAATCCTTATATCTGAAGATGGATCACTGTCACACACACAATAAAGGACATAGAAAGTAGGGCTGGGCGATATGGACCAAAACTCATCTCAATATTTCTCCACTGAATGGCGATACTCGATATATATCGATATGTATTTTATTAACAGTCAGTTGCACAAGTTCAACATGTACATGAAAACAAACTACCTCTTTGTGAAATTAATTAATTTTCTGCATAACAAAATAAACACAGAGTGTTTTGTTATCTATTTGGACTTGGACTTAGTTTAGAATTTAGTTTTTTGAGTTTGGCTCAGAGAGAGAGAGAGACAGTGAGATGAGAAATAGGTGAACTGGCAGCTCTACAGAAGAAACATATAACTTTATTGTAATGCAACATGAACTACTGTATATCGATATTAACAATATTGTCACATCTAACTCTATCTTTCCACTGTTGTTTTTGTCTCCTTAAGAGAACACTTGTGCATCATATGAACGGTGTTTTTCTTTGCACAGTCCATTTGCAGCTTATCTCTCTCTATACTCCTGGAGAAACGAGACTGTTAAGTACCGCCTGGGCTGCTCCCGAGCACACTTCTCACTTTTACAACTGCACGGCCGTGGAGCTGTTGAAAATGAGCACCAGGAGATTTCATGTTAAAAATACAAACACACAGAGACTCACACATGCACACACGCAACAACTCTACTAGTCACATACATTAGCTATTTTCAGGTCCGGCCTGTCGCTGCGACCCAGCAGTGATTAAAGCATACCAGCAGGCGCTAAGCACGGCCCTTAGTGGCCTCCCTGAGAAATGATAGCCTGCTAGCTTGACGGCTAACAGACATGGACACCCTGTGAACCACCTGATCCTTCTCTAAACTGGCTGACCTGACTGAGACCCCCACAAGCAGCTGATGCCTGAGACTATGAAGGGCACTCGGAGGGAACTCAAGTCCTAACTCCAGTCTGGCATGGATCCTGTTCAACCAGGAAGATGATGTCAGGACTTTTGTCTGCTTTCTTTTCATCTTTTTTTAACTGCTATAATTGTCATATTACACCTAAGATAAGCAAGGTGTTTTACAACAAAAAAAAAAGATGACAGCCCCTGTTTTCCATTCTTTATGGTCAAAGGGTCGTCCACAGCGGTATTATTCTGGAACGTAGAAAAACCAAGTTAACAATGTAAGATTATTATCATCGCTGGAACCTGGCTGAGTCTGATTATGGTTTTTATTTGTATTTATTATTTAAGATTTTTAAGACACCAGCTGACATTTAGAAAGTTTTAGTATGAACAAAAAAAAGCCTGTTGATGTTTGAACTTGATATTTTACAGCTAAATCTGTTTCCACCAAGCGGTTCGGTTTGGTACGGTAAACTCTGGTCTTGCTGCATTTCCTCAGCTACCCCGTACCCTCACTTGTTAGGATTAGTGTAAGCAGGATAGCAATAGCTGCATCAGCCATACTGTGAAGTCATAGCAGTGGGACAGTGTAGCCTGCCAGGAATTTCAACAAAGAAGAAGAGTGCGACACAGTAAACAAAAGGGCAACAATGGACGACGTCCAGCAGAGGTCTGCAACTCCAAGGTCGTCCATGGGGCAGAGCTACGTGTTGACATTAGTCACAAACAAACAAAAAAAAAAAACAGCTTTGGAAACACTCTCTAGAAATCCACGGGATATTCAAACATGACGCATTTTGGGTTTGTCCTTTATTACCACTGTGGCACAGGAAGTTAAGATTCTTTTGACCAATCGTGAGACTGCAGTGTGTCTAACTCCACCCTTTAAGGATGGATCGGATTGTTTGGCACCCCAACAGAAGCGTAGCAAAAAAGTAGGACAGTACAGGTTGGTTATTTCGGTACAATTCCAACTTTTGCGGTGAAACGCAATAAATGTAAACCTTAACGGACCAAGCTGAACTGGGCTGCTTGTTGGAAACAGGGCTTTAAAGACACTTCCAGTTCCCTCTAGTTGATAAGTACCAACTAAATTGTGTGGTGTTTTTTCTGCATTTGTATTCCTCCTAGATATATCTACATTATTGGCTCATACGGGAAATGTGTTATCAGAAAAAACCCATGAAAGTATTTAATATACTTTAAGAACAATGTTGATTTTAATTTCAAAACTACAGCGCTTACCATTTTTTAAGATATAAAGTAGAATATATGGGAGCCTAAGCTTCCTGATGAAGTGAACTGAAAAAGAAAGAACAAACATATTCTACATTCTGCTTCTTAAACTATCTCAGGATCCTGCATATCCCCCCAAAAACTGAAAGCGATAGAGCTCCGTGCCTTTATCCTCCCCCTGAGGAAGATCCTTTGAAGTTCAGGGATCTGTCAGATTCAGCTTCAGTTTGGTATTTCTACCACCACCCCTCCCCTCCCCTCCCCTCCCCTCCCAACCACCAGCAGCACCACCCATGTGATTCCCCCCTGCATCATTCCATCCTTCATATCAAGGTCTTATATAATCTTTTCTCTGCAGAATCTGCCTCAAACCGTCTCTGAAAGCTGTAAAATCCTGTGTTTCCGACCTGGCTCTAGACGGCACATGTTGGGACATAAATACAACATGTTAGCGTGTGAACAACTGTTGAATGTATGTCCAGCCATGTCATGGGAATGATTCGGGCTACAGGTGGCTGGTGGCCCTGAGCCAGGCCGCCTCCTTCTCTGCCCGACTGAAAAAAAGAAGGGGGGGACGTGTGACCTTGCAGCCTGTGAAGTCTGCAGAGCAAAAAACTTCAGAGAGCAATAACTAGTTCATTGGCTGATAAAGGAGAGGAAGATAGACAGAAATGGAGGGAGAGAGAGAAAGAGAGAGAGAGGATGAGGGGGAGAGACAGCTGCAGCTCTGTAGATTAGAACTGAAAGCAGCTCTCTCGCTCTCTCTCTCTCTCTCTCTCTCTCTCTCTCTCTCTCTCAGCTTTGAACTCTGTTTTTGCCTGCTGGAGTTTGTGATTGGCTAAAAAAAAAACTCACTCTGAACTGTTAGTCTGGGGCAATCTTAAACTCTCTCAGCAGAGGGCTTTAATCTGACATTTTCAATCCCACGGCCAGTTTTCTAAAACTTTTTGTCATGTGGGGAAAGCCTTTTCTAAACCTCCATGGCTCCGAGCTATATTTAGAGAATACACAAAGAAGTTAACACTGTGTCATCACATAGTGGTCCTTTATGTAACTAATTACAATGTCAATCCTGTAAGAAGAGGTCCAATTTCTATAGATTTTAACCCTTACTTTTATTTGAATAACCCCTGATCATGCCCTCACTTAGGCCACCTCTAGCTTTGTATTTAGCAAAGTAGTGATGACTTTCCATATTTATTACTCAGTCTTTTGATTAAGAAACAGGAAATATGTACACAAAATAAAACTAAAAAAAACTTTTTTCAGAACAAATTGGCTTCTACAGCAAATGTTCTTTTTTCCAGTCTGACCTTCCTTTGCACTTGGAGTTTAAAATGTTCAGGTATATAATACCAGACTCCTTTCAGCACATCCCAGAGTTCTTCTTTAGATGTCTCAGCTCGCCCCCCCTTTCTCCAGGTGCTCCCATACTGCCTCTATCATTTTCACGTCTGGACTCTGAGGAGGCCAGTCCGTTTCCTGTCTAAAACACACATTGCTGACTTCATGCTTTTGACTTGATCAAAACACACTGTGTGTCATTTGTTGAAGAGGATAACTATGCTAGAATAACAAACTTCACAGCCATTGCTGCCAGATCATTTTTAAACATTTGTTGCAAGATTGATATCAAACTGGGACGCAGTTTATATCAGAACTTTAACTATAAGTCTAGTCGTTTAGATTCATGTTGAGTTGTTATTCACTATAGACTTAAACATCTGATCACTGCAGGCGGAGAAACATGTGTGTGTGTGCCAAAGTAGTGCTAAAGCAATGTGGCTTGCTAGCAGTGCTGAGAATCATCAACATAGCGTAAATTTACCCCAATGTTTTTTCTTTAAAGTCTTTATATGTGATTTTTCACACTTAAATGTAGAAATCAAGTATATCCTCTGAAAATAACTCTGTGAGTCATGACTGTCTACAATGGGTGTAACACCTGAGTCCCACTGTCTGTGATGTTTTCAGAGTTTTCAGAGTCCTATCTTCACTTTGTTTACATCGCCAGGACGGCCGGCTGACTCCTCCCCTCGTGTATAAAAGTTGTTTAATTGAGGGACTAGAGAAAAGAAGAATAACATACTGTACTCACTGCTTAACTGTGTTTCTAGATCACGCTCATTTCAGGTAAATTTACATGCAGTGTGAAGATACCAGCATAATAAAGATCGCTAGCATTAGCATGCTAACACAACAATGCAGCGCGAGTTGTTTTGGTTTCATGCTGGTGCTCAAGGGCGACATCTGCTGGATCAAAAAATCACATATAAAGCCTTTAAAAATATGTGCTAAATCGGAGCAAATGTCCCTGTCTTCATAGATTTACAGCATAGCTTACATGCAGACACTCAGGCCAGTCGCTCCCTAAAGGCGACACACTCACAGAGACATCTATTGTGGCTAATATAATTACTATTGACAAGTACCTCCTTCAACCCCACTTAAAAAATACAGAACTATCCCTTCAAATCATTTCAGATACAGACCTATTTTCCAAAAGTGAGTATGAGTTGATGACAGCTTTCAGAAAATGTCCTTACAGTACATATGTACAGTATATCCATTATCTCACTGCCTGACTGGGCTCCAACAACAATAAACTTTGTTTTATAAAAATGTACACTGCAGCAAATTAAAAACATGCACGGCTGATGATGACTGCTTGAAAAAGGTTCTGGAACAAGAGTTGAGTTGAAAAAAAATGCAGCCAAATTATGTGTGCAAGCCAGAGCTGCTTAAGGCTGTAAATTGTGTGATGTAATCTGGCAATGATGAAAACAAGTTTAAACAAGGGAGAGGTGGGGGATTTGTGTGTGTGTGTGTGTGTGTGTGTGTGTGTGTGTGTGTGTGTGTGTGTGTGTGTGTGTGTGTGTGTGTGTGTGTGTGTGTGTGTATTATTTGGAGCATAAAGAAAAATGTATAGAGAGCCGAGTTCAGGTGCTAATCAGTGGTGTGGTGTGTTGTCAAGACGGAATGAACCTCCTGTCGAGATTTTGTTCAGAGAGAGCCAAGACAAAGACAGACACTTTTTTTTTTCTCTTTGTGTGTGTGTTGGGGAGAAAATGTACTCACTCCATCATAGACGCAGGTATGGAGCAGCAGTCCTGTATGGCGGTGAGCGGAGACGTTAGGTGAGCCGTGTAGGAGGCCTCCACCACTTGTTTGTTCCGGTTCACCACATCCAGGTAGCGGTTGAACTTTTCCCGGATCTTTTTGGCGAGCTGCACAGAGTAAAAAAAACAAAAAAAAAACAAACACTAAATCAGACAATCATTAGTGGTGGTGGTGACTCCTAAAATTTACATCTGACTAAAGCTTAAAGCAGCCAAATGATCATTACTCACACTCACACACATAGATGGGCAGACCACCATTCATATGGAATCACAGCTAATAAGAGCAGAGCCTTACAAGTTGGGTTTTGTTAACTGTGGTTGAGAGGGGTTGCACATTGAAAGGTGTGACCCTGCAGACATAAGAAGACCAGAAACACACACTGCTGCTGGCTATAAACTTCTGTGTGTTTTCGGGGCTGCAGATCTCAATGCTGTCAGGTAAATGCAGTGATGCAGTTAGTCTCTGTGGCCGTTTTTACACATGCACTCTGGATAATATCTAGATATTTACAGGAGGACTTCTCTGGAGATTGTCCCGACCTAGCCGTTCACATATGCTCCTCACAGCGGGGGGCTTTCCCTGTCAGAGGGGAGGGGGGGCGGGGGATTTCCTGAGGTAAGACGTGACGTAAATAAACAACGCGGAAGTAGCGGATGAAGCAACAGAGTCCGCTACACGACGTTATAATGAGAATATTTGTCTTTATATCAGTGCTATGTGTAATCCAATGGAATGACAACATCCAGAAAAGAGAGGAGAACAACATACTGACCAACAGAAAACTGAATGCAGACGTTTAATTAGAGCACGGAGATCGTAGAGGTCGCGTGCAGACACTTTAGACTGTCACTGTATATAAACGTCATTCTCTTTCTATTGGCTCCAGTTGAAATCTCTGGAGTATATGCTGCAGCGTTCAGACATCAGCTCACTCAGACTTTCTGCGGATAAAATACTAGAGGTCTGGAGGAGACTCCGGGTAAAGACTGCGTGAAAAATGCGTCTGTTTGCGTTCACACAGCCTAAAGAACCTCCAGGTAGACAAATCTACAGAGTTTTTCAGGAGATGTGTGAAAAGGGTTTATGAAATCAGCAGGCTAAATGATGACCTCACTGGAACGAAAAAAGGGATCCAATTAACTAGATTGAAGTGTCTGTTTATGTGTGTGTAAATAAAGCTTCCAGTTACATTTTAAAAAAAGTCACCCTAATACAACAAACTGTATGCCTTAACACTGAATCTGCAGGGAAAATTGGAAGTGGTTTGTATATTTTCCAAAGCCATTGTGAGTTACCTTCTCAGTCTGGATGAATACAGAGAAAAGGCTTATTTCCATAGTAACTGGACCCCCTTTGTTCACATCGCTGCATGCAAAGGGGGCTGTTTTTTCAAGCCAGGACCAGGGAAATGTTGCCACGACCCACTGACCGCTTATACACCTCATCAGCCGGCCGCTATTACTATTAGAGGTTTAACAAGGGCCTGAGGCACAGCCCACAATTACCCCTCTACCACAAACACACACACATACACTTAAATGTGCACCCTCACACACTACAAAGTGAAACACACAAAAAGTGGCACTCCCTGACACACAGTGCTATCCATGCATGGCAGCATGGCAATTAGCTAAATAGACATGGTATTAAAGAAAAGGTAAAAACAGGCCAGTGTTCAGACGAGGAGTGTTTCCAAAGTAAGACTTTTAATAGAGTGACTCGAAAGAATCCAGAAACTTTGAGCCGTGCAAGTTAAAGCTAAAGTTCCAGTGTGCAGCCAAAGCAAACCTGCACTCTGCAGATTAACCACACTCTCCAAAACACAGGCCTCCTCTCTCTCCACTCTCCCACACAATCAACCAGATTTTCGGGTTTGCAGCACCCAGTGGACTCTGTTGAGCCGCAGAGTGGAATGGGTGCACCCTGAACTCTTGTGCTGGGGAGTACTGAGGTTTGCAAGCCTTTGACCACAGTCCCTGGCAGTGGTGTTTATGGCAAAACCAAGAGTTACTCTAAAATGAGTGCAGGCCTGAAGTAAACAGAGAAGAAGGAATAAGCTTCTGCAGACCAGAGGACCTGTTACACTGTTGGAGAATCAATATGAAAGGGCGGCCCGGGTTTGGATCCAACCTGTGGCTCCTTTTCCCGCATGTCGTTGCCTACTCTCTCTCCCTGATTTCCGACTCTATCCACTGTCCTATGTCTCCAATAAAGGCACAAAACGCCCAAAAATAAATCTTTAAAAATAAAGAAAGTACAGAGACAAAATGACAATTACAAAACTGCAATCTAAGAAGTGCTTTATTGACATGACCTGATCAGAAACAGCCGACTTGACTTCACCGTCATGTTCTACAAGTTGTCTAAACGAATATCCTATATACAGTACATAGTAGTAAATGCAGTAAACCAATAAAATGCTATATAACATTTCAAATAAAAAAGTATGTGAGATAATCAAAATGCATTTTATTCTCGAATTGAAGCATTTCTGTTTGTCATTATCTTTACATTTCTTAAATGTCACTCAGTGAAGGCTGCATCTACCTGCTCTTTGGCTGACAGACAAACAACACACAAACACACACACAAACACACACACAATCACACACAAACACGCACACCTACAGGAGCACGCTGAACTGATAACCACTCTGCCAATTTGAGCACATTCAGTTCCTACATGTCTTGTCTGGTAGTGAATGTGACGAAATGTAAAAGGTGAAAACTTAAAGGTCACAGTGTGCAAACTGCTGAGGGTTGCACTCGTGTTAGAACACTTTTATCTGTGGGTTGTTGTTTCTATTCCAAGCAAATGTTTTCAGTACTGATTTGTATTTTTCTCATAAAGTTATTCTTGTGTGCACATTCAAATCAAGAAGATGAACAAAGCGCTAAGAGATAACCCAACTCCATTAGATACCACTGAGCACTGTTAACTTTTGTAAAAAATCTAATCCCAATTAATCCAAAAACAAAGGACATTTCTTAACTCAAGCTGCTGTAGTTCAAACATTTCCTTTTTTGCCATTCGAGTATTACTTCAGCCAAAAGGTGCAACTGATCCTCTTTGAGAATATAAACATTGAAAAGTTTATTTAAAGAAATATTTAACACTTAGCTAACTGCTAATAGCTCTGAGATCTCCACTTCAAAGCCTTTAAAACTTTAATACCTTCAAATGAACTCGCAGAATGAGTTTACTTTAACAGACTTCCAAAAGGTTTTTATTTTTAACAAGAAAAAGGACTTATTTGGAAAAAGATAGCAGTTAAATTTAAAAGGAAGAATGTGCAACATTTTACACAGAAATCAAGTATCTTCTCTATAAATGTCTCTCTGAGTCACGACTGTCGACAATGAGTGAGAAGCTTGAGACCCGCTGGCTGTGTTGTTGTCAGAGCTGTGTTTACATCATGTTTACATGGACGGGACGGGCCGACTCCTACCCTTGAGTATAAAGCTGTCTTAGTCAAGGACTCAAGAGAAGAAAAAGAAAATTTCAACGTCACATGAGCATTTTTAGATCACGGCCATTCTGTGTAAATTCACAAGCAATGTGAAGCTACGAGCTCACTAAAGAAGGGCTAACATTAGCATGCTAACACAACAATGCAGGCCACAGGTGATTGCAGCTCGAGCAAAGGACAATCTGCTGCTTGCACTTGACTTCTTTGTGGGGAATGCGAGGGGAGGGGGATGGGAGGTGTGACGCTGAAGGAGTGTGGAGGCTTTAGCAGCCAAACAGCAGCTTGTTTTGGTTTTTTGCTGGTCATCAAGGGCGATATCTACTGGATCAAAAAGCCACACATTCTTTTGATACACATCAATAATGAATAGATGCATCAGCTAAATTAAGCCTGATAATACACCTTGGTGTGCTTTGTTAAAATAACCAATCATTAACACACAGCATGGCCTGTAAATGACGGACTATTCAACAGAAGAGAACGATGGAATAGGCATGAACAGACTCTTCAAAATAGAAACAACAGAAATAGGGAGAGTGTCTGTCATTACAAAAGGACAGAAGTCAGTGTGTCTTTCAATAATGAGTTTCTAGAAGAGAAGCCAGTGGCTCCTCTCTGTGGCCCCTTGCCCCTTTTTTTCCTCTGCAGACCCTCTTCCTAATTGAGTCTCACTTTGGCTCGTGGACACAGCTCCTCTGAGGGAACTTTTCAAGCCAACTATGTCAGCGCTGTCGCCTGAATCAGCTGGCAACTGCTCTGAAAAGCTGCAGATTGAATGTATGTGCACTCCACGAGTTGGCCAATGGAATTAAAATGGTTCAAATGTATTCCTACATGGAACAAACATGAGAGAAAATAGTGCTGCTCTGGGACTGGTGCTCATTTAAAAATAATTTAAAAAACCCAGATCTATGCGACACCAATTTCCAAAACCTAAGACTTAAGTATTGTGGATGAGGTTTCTGTGAAAGGAAATCCTTCAGGGCCTGAGTTCACCAAAGAGTTTTTCTTTTCAAGTTGGAAACATCAGGCGCTCCTCTCAAAGCAATCCAGCTTGGAGCACTAGAGAGCACTTTGGAGAAGTCGGGTTTATCAGCCGAGTGAAGAAATCTCTTGTTGCCGTCTGTTCTGATACTGTAAACTTTCAAAAGTAAGAAATATCAACACGATGTACTACTGGCTCTGGACCTTGTTTTGGATAATGGATAGCCTGATGCAGGTGGAGAGGAGGGAACCATATTTTTTTTGTGGGATCATGAGATTTAGTGAGAAATAACTCTTCATGGACAACCACTGATTTTTGGTTTTGTGCTATTTGTCCAGCCACCGTTTTACTATGATTGGACAACTGAAAATGCAGGCATGCTGTTAAAACCAACCTTTTCAACTCGTAGCTACTCTGAGATTTTTCTGAGAATTGTCAGGACAACGAAGCATCCAAAGCCTTGTCAATAAGCATTTTTCAGAAAATTGCCCCCAAACATCCACAAAAGTCACCAAAAATTCCACAAGTTTCCATAAAATTTCAGACATTTTCATTACATTTTTGTGCAAATTCTTTAAAAGTTCCTGAAAGTTTTCTGAACTTTTCTAATGAAAACTCCTGAATGTTTTCCATAAAGGTTTTTTTTTTTTTTTTAAATGCACAAACACTTCCAAAAAACTTCTGGAGTTTTACATAAATATGACTGAAGCTCCCACAAAAGTTTCTGGAAATTCTCAACAAACACTCAAACAAAGTTTTTAATAAAATTCAGAAACATTTCCACTGAAGTTGCTGAAAACTGACATGAACATTTCCAAATATTATCACGAGAATCTCCTACAAATCCTGATAATATCCACAGTAGTTTCACAACATTACATCTATAATTCATGAAATTTCCAGTGAAAGTTTCCAAGGAAAAGGCAATGGTTTTATGAAGAAGAGGAAATTGGAATCCTTCAAGGCCAATTGTTGGGAGTCAATAATGCAAAATGAGTTTTACTAAACATCTCACACAGGAGGAAACACTGTAACACACACAGAAACACATTCACCATGAAATACTAACAAACATCAACCTTTCTGTTCTTGCTGGTGGCTGTTTACCAGTGTGCTGTTTACTGTCACATTTTCAAGATCTTTGAGGCATGACTGCAAAAACACACACACACACACACACACACACACACACACAGTCAGATCCTTATATATAAATGTACATCATGCCTGCACACAACCATGTTTGACTGGACGCCAGATGATGGAAATTCTGAGCATTGTTTTACCAACAGGAGCAAATCTGCACACATAAATGTTGACTTCTGGACATCAAAGAATCATCTGAGAGCTGTTATATATATATTTCTAAATATGCCATTGTCTTTTCCAAGCCTTCTTATACAGGCTGACTGCAGCTCTGCTTTCATTTAGAGAGCTGAGAGAAAGACAGACGGGTGGAAAAACAGACAGAGAACTTCAAAGCCAATGAGACGGCAGCCGTAGAATTTTAATAAACCCTCTTTTTCCTCTGATGGTGAGTGTGTATGTGTGTGTATGTATGTGTTTGTTCTTTTCTGCGCTACACAAGGCCACAGACAGACATCATCCATGGCACAAACAAGCAGTCACACATGGACACACACACACATGGACACACACACACACAGGGGGAAGGAGAAGCCTTTGTTACTCACCTGCTGCACTTCTGTCTCTCCATTTGATGTCTTCTCAGTGTACACAAACGAGTTGAAAATCCTCTGCAGAGGGAGAAGGAGACAGAGACATACAGGTTAGATCAGCAGGATTCAGTTTTTGGGGGATGTCTGGCAGAGACTTTTGAATTACACCTAAATGAGCCAAAATCATAAACAGAAGATGGCCACATTAGAACTTTTTGCATGAGGGAATTACACAACAGACATTAGCATTAGCAATAATGGATCACTCTGCTCATTAATGGTCCATACTAGCCAATGGTAAAACTGGTTATCTGACTAAAAGACACATTTACACCCAGACAATATAGTCCTATTAATATCAGTGTCTAGGTTAGGGACTGAAACACATCACCGGTTGAATTGTGGAGGATTGTCAGAACGCAAAATGTGAGCTCAATCTAAAAAATGATTCTGAAGGGGCACCGGGTGTCTGAGTGGTTATGGGCTCGTGCCCCACGTAAAGAGGCTGTAGCCCTCAAAGCGGGCGCCCCAGATCTGACCTGTGGCTCTTTTCCCACTCTCTCTCTCTCTCTCTCATTTCTGACTCTGTCCAATATATATATATATCTCAGCAATAAAGGCATAAAATGATGCTGAATTTCCCCCTTCAGCTTCCAGACAGACGTTTTAATAGTCCCTCATTGATATTGTTGAGGGAATAGGAAGCATAGTGCCACTGAAGCATGGAGAAAAAGAGTCCTGGTGTGACCTCAGCCTAACACTTTAAGAGCATACACACACACAACTCTGTCCAGAGGGTCTCCTGGGTCCCATCAGCTCAACATTTGCTCTCTTTCTCTTACTCAACGCATACTTTCCAAACACAGACGGCAGCAGCAGCAGCACTATGTTGCAGCTACAAACAGAGTAAAGCTAATGTTTGTGTTGCGTTGGAGGCAGCAGGTAGGCAGGTGTTTCACTGTAAGCCTCCCTTTGCTGCACACCAAGCCTTAAATCACCTGGTTCCACACGCCGAACCACTTCCTGCTGCCTGTCTGCACCTTTTGTTCGGCGCATTCCAGAAAGTACCAATTACCAAGAAAACACCAGGTCGGTCAAAAACCGGAGCTGATTCACACGACTTCAATAGGGAAGAGAAAACTTCAACAGGGAAGAGAAAACTTCAACAGGGAGGAGAAAACTTCAACAGGAAAGAGAAAACTTCAACAGAGAGGAGAAAACTTCAACAGGGAAGAGAAAACTTCAACAGGGAGGAGAAAACTTCAACAGGGAAGAGAAAACTTCAACAGGGAGGAGAAAACTTCAACAGGGAAGAGAAAACTTCAACAGGTTTGCTCTGAACTTGGAACACAACTTTTAAGGTGGAAAATGTACAGTTGGTTAAAATCCACACTTATTTCCAATGGACACTTCAAGTGGCTTAACTCAAATCATTTCACCTGTAATGCTTATTTCTTTTTCTTTTTTTGGTGCATTTTTCATGACAAATTAAATGGCATAAATTAAAGTTTCAATGGTCGCAACTACGGATTATTGTCTTGAAAAATGCATTAACCCCTCGTGATCTTTTATATGAAAAAATGTTTTTTTAAACATCACAAATTAATGTTGATATATTATGTAAAGTATAATTATTTAATTTTATTAAAGTATGTACGTTTCTTAACAGTAGAAGCAGCTTCTGACTTTTTGAGAAGCTGAAACCTGAAAAGTTTGCAATTTTTGTTTTAGACTCAAATAAAAAAAGAAGCGGCTATACACTCAATCTACAATACAATGGCCTCTTCTTAGCCGTAATTAGGCCATTTAGCTTCAGATAAAGTATCAAATGTAGTTCTGGAAATTCAATTTTCTCTAATTGGACTCATAAACACAGGCTAGCATGAACACAAACACAGCTAATTGCCAATCTTTCCTCAACAGAACCAAACAAAAGCTCGGTTGAATCCTGATTGTCTGAATGGAGTCAGCAGGCCTGCTTATGAATGTTTTTGGCGGTCACTTTACACAAGCATGAGACTATCACTGGAGTGCTACACAAACACACACACACACACACACACACACACACACACACAGCTGCATATTTCACTATGGAGTTATTCACAATGTGTAAAAACCAAGCCCAGACAGTCTACTGTTCCACACCCTTCTTAGTGGAAAATAAATGCAGGTCCAAGATGTAGAACTGTCAAATAAACACGAACAAGCACACACAAACAATTGCCACATCTTAGCGGGAGTCGTATGCTTTCAAAACACTAACAAATGAGAAGCCGGGTAGAGAAAACAGGCACTCAAAAGGGGGGAAAATGATTCGTTCCCATTAAGAAAGCAACTGTGGAAAACATTGAGAACGAAGCCCGAGGAGGGAGAAAAACTCCTGTTGTTGATTAGCTGCAGGTTAGTCGTCTTTCCCCTGGTGCCTCCAGTGTTTGTTGTCGGAGCTGCTTTGCGGTTTTCACAGCTATGTAGCAGCCTGGGAGGAATGCTCAGCTCTGAAACCTGAGAGGCCTGAGGCTGCCCGGGGCCACCGTGGACCTGTGGCCTCCCCTGACCCGTAATCAAACAGTGAAAAGTACACAGACACATACACAGCGGCACAGAGGCACGCAGTGACAACTACAGAGTGTCAGGCGTGGACTCACACACCCACCGTGTACACACCTTGCTGAAGAGAACAAATAAACACGAGAGAACACTTTAAATACCTGATGGATGACAAGAAAACATCGATAAGAAGTCAGATGGGAATTCTTCCTAAAGGATTTACAGTTATTTGGTGGAAACACAACTTTTTAAAAGTGTTTTTCAGTGTCAATTTCCTCCAAAGATTAAGTGTGAAAAACATACAGAAGAAAAAAAAGCCTGCAACATATGGATTTTTCTCCATTCCTCGCCCATTAGAGCACCAGGACACAACTAAAATTTCACAGAGCAGCTGCAGCAGCATTATGGATTATTAGCCCCATTTATCAAGCTGTGGAGTCACATGGTTCTTAAAACAATGTGTTGAGTTCACGTTCACTAGCAATCCGTTTAGATGACAAATGAGCCCTAACAACTTGACAAAGCTCTCTTCAGTACGGCTACATCAAACCAGAATTTTGTCACTTGAATATAATAATATAATAATATATATATATAATATTTAGCCGTTCAATATAAAGCTTCGGCCTTTTTTTCCATTTTCTTTCAGTTTAAGTGTTATGTTGAAACGGTAAGATGCACATTATTCAGACTTTCTGTCCACTCGATATTGAAACATGCAGAGCTCAAATTATTCTCAATGTTGCAAGGAATGTCCCCTCCCTTTCTCTGTGGATCATTTTTCCCAACTGAGAACAATACAAACTGGGGGAATTCTAACCTAAAATAAGATGAGCGGCTTTTTCAAAAGGTAGCTGCAGCTCAGCTCACAGCCCCTCCTGGCATTAATCACCTGTTAAGGTGCAAAAAACAAAACAATGATTTTGAAGGTGGAACCAGGGGTACCAGCTAATGTCTTTTACATAATTGAATCCCAAATCCCATTTGTTTGGAACAATCAACATTGGAACCCAAAACGAAACAAGCTAACAACTACAAACAAGCTAGCTGTAGCTCAGCACACGGCCCCTTCAAACACCGTTGCCTGCTATTGGACTTAGAAGAAACACTAAACTCATTATTCTGAGTTTTACCTTTGTTATTTAGCTATCGATTAACACCTAGAGATACTGAGGGAATATTAACCAGAAAATAAGGTAACACTTGCAAACAGGCTGATGGTAGTTCAGCTAACAGCTCCTCTTATCATTTGCCCGACGAGAATGGAAAAAGCACTGATTATTAATATGAAACTCCTTATTCTGTTTTTTTACTGTTTTTTTTTTTATTCAGCTAGTGGCTTCTTTGTTTTGAAAAGAAGGATCTCCATAATTTGGATTAAGATAAATATTTAAAGACTAGAATCATTCTTAAAATCTGCTTTAAGTCAAAGGAAACACAGAAAACTAGTCCGTTAGACCTTAAGACTACACCGATTGTGGTCTGGTGAAAAACACAAAATTACACTTATTTTTAAAAGAAAACTGAGCCGATTCCCGATTCCAAACACGACCTTTCCAAACACTAAGCTCTAGAGAAATGCATACCAACTCCTGTTCATTGATCACTGAGCACCAGCCTTTGTCTAATTAGGCCACTTTTTTTAAATCCATCCACCTTGAGGTTAATCCGAGCCACAGCCGAGCGGTTCACATGAATGACTGACCCCTCCGAGGAGTCTGAAACTGCACGGTACAAAGACAAATACCAGAACCTGTGTTGTTTCAACCCTAAAGTACATTTGTCTTATTGATACGCGGGTGTTTGCTGCTACTGTGGAAGGCAATTTCCTTTTTTTAGAACAACCCATTAACATTTAAACTCTCTCCCAGCATTATTCACACTTGTGATTTAATCTGAGCCCCTCTTAATTATAGGCAAAGAGGAGGGTGAAGATTGAGCAGTTACTCATTATAACATGAGAACTTTTAAAACCTGTCACTTTAAGGGTCTACCACCATCTTTAGAACATTCTGTTGGCGATTGCACTGTTTATGTGTTGAATCTCATTTAAAACCACCCCTCTCTTCATCATTAAGTTTCTCTTTCTAGTCCCCCCAAACCTCTTGTACCTTGTTATAGAAGCTTATTTCAATGGCCAAACCAAGGGGACCCTCCATGCATACAGCATCCATTTAATTGGGCCTCCCTCTTCAGTTCTTCTGTTAGGCTCTCTGGGGGGAATCCATAAACCACCCCAAGGGGCTCTTCTCCTTTTAGAGACTCTTTTGTTCTTAGTAGGGGCAGAGGACACAATCTAGACACAGGACTGAGGATACCAGCCACAAAGACTTTGAGGGTCACCAATGGGTCTTTTTCTTGGAAACACATGGTAAAAAATATGCACAGAAATAAAGTGAAAATTGTTATTCTGATACCAAATCAAGATTAAAATATCTCTATCAGCCTTTCACACACTGATACCAGTATTGGACTCGGGCTGTTTACACCTTGCATTAACATCCATCTGGGTGATCTGGTAACAATTT